TCTCGAGATCCCGGGAGCGCCATGTGTGAAACTGTGTTCACACCCTCACTCACAAGCTAGTGGGATTAAATGTGGTAAACGTACTCACATATAACATGAGCGAGTGGCGTAATTGGGTTTATTCTGGGGTACGGGTCTCTTAGAGTAGATATGGGAATGTCTGGGATAATGGGGGAGCTTGATCGGTACAGTTGGGGCTCTGGAATAATGAGGGGCTTTTGAACCTCGCAGCGGAGCGCAAGTAATTAATATTAGTAAACACTATTGATTCTCTATATATACATTTTGTGTAAATATTTTTCAGACCTGTACAAGGTTTCATTAAGTCGAAATAAAGCTTTTTTATTCGCTCTTTAACAGGGCCGAATCCGATCTTTTTATTCACTCTCTAACGGAGTCGAAAAAACATTTTTATTCACTCATTAACAGGGCCAGAATAAAGCTTTTTATTCACTCATTAACAGGGCCAAAATAAAGCTTTTTATTCGCTCTTTAACAGGACCGAAACCGACCTTTTTATTCACTCATTAACAGGGCCAAAATAAAGCTTTTTATTCACTCTTTAACAGGGCCAAAACCGACCTTATTATTCGCTTATTAACTTAGCCGAAACCGACCTTTTTATTCACTCTCTAACAGAGTCGAAAAAGAGCTTTCTATTCACTCTTTAACTGAGTCGAAAAAAAGCTTTTTATTTGCTCATTAACATGGCCGAAACATAGCTTTTTATTCGCTCATTAACAAGGCCGAAACAAAGCTTTTTATTCACTCATTAACAAGCCCGAAACAAAGCTTTTATATAGTCTCTAACAGAGTCAGTTGTACAAAGTTTGATTTACTCACCAACAGCGTGGATTAAACAAAGCATTTTATACAGATACGATTGAACACTGCTTTTCATTTCTCTTACATTTCCGGCGCACCTTCCTCTCTACGAGGATGTGGTTGCCATGGTAGCGACATTTCTGAGATACTTGTATCTGAGTTCGACGAAGCCCGAAGCACCTAGAGACTGAGTGCGTTTGTGGTTTCGAAGAGATGACAGCGACATCGTAAATCACAAGGTCGCTTTTCTCACACGTTTAAAACACACAGAACTGAAATCGCCTTCAGAAACGAGTTCTTTGACCTGTTTATTTATTTATTTTTTATTTTTTAGTAACGGATTAGACTCAGTATCGCGCAACTTTCAACCCTGTTTAGTTTCTCTAAATTTCTGGACTACAAAAGTAAGTTTTGGTTTCATTTCTTGTAGACACGATAATCAAACAAAACATTTCAATTTGTGAAACGAAGTTTATATTTCAATCGTTAATATTGCAAGAAGTAACTGAGCTATCGGAATAGCTTTCTCGTGAACCTAAATTAAAGTTTTTTATTTTATTTTAATGTTTTTTTATTATTATTATTTAGTTGATAAAACAAGCAAACAGTGTCGCATGAAATGTAATGATTTACCATTCATATTATAAACAACATACGGAGAATACGTGAGCTAATAGATATTTACTCGTGAGATAATGTAACCGCTTGAATTAGTACAAACACATCACCTGATGTAATGTTTATTTTTAGCGCAACAGATCGTCTGTACTCTGTTCACCACATAGCATTATAATTCTGTAAATTTACTGCTGGCCTACTAGCGGACGACCTAATGAACACATATATATATAAAACTAATATATGTGAGATGTTATAATTGCTTGACTTATTAGAAACACGTGACCTAATACACGCACGTAAGTTAACATACACACGTGATCTAGTATAGGTGTGTGAGCTAACATACACACGTGATCTAGTATAGGTGTGTGAGCTAACATACACACGTGATCTAGTATAGGTGTGTGAGCTAACATACATACGTGATCTAGTATAGGTGTGTGAGCTAACATACACACGTGATCTAGTATAGGTGTGTAAGCTAACATACACACGTGATCTAGTATAGGTGTGTAAGCTAACATACACACGTGATCTAGTATAGGTGTGTGAGCTAACATACACACGTGATCTAGTATAGGTGTGTGAGCTAACATACACACGTG